AGCTGTGAGCATTTCCAGGGAGGGGGAATCCACAGCTTCTCTGGACAATCTGTTCCCATGTCTCACTACTCTTAGAGTAAAGAATTTCTTATCTAAATCTACCTCCTTCCAGTTTAAAGCCATTACTGTTTGTCCTACCACTACATGCTCTGATAGAGTCCCCTTCCATCTTTCTTGTAGGCCCCCTTCAGGTACTAGAAGGTTGCTATAAGGTCTCCCTGGAGCCTTCTCTTCTCCAGACTGAACAGTCTCAGCTCTCTCAGCCTGTCTTCATAGGAGCTGTGTTCCACTCCTCTGATCATCTTCATGGCTCTCCTCTGGACTTGCTTCAACAGCTCAACATCTTTTTTGTTGGGAACTCCAGACCTGGACACAGTACTCCAGATGGTGTCTCACCAGAGCAGAGTAGAGGTGCAGAATCACCTCCCTCAACCTGCTGATCCTGCTTCTTTTGATGCACTCCAGGTTATAGTTGGCTTTCTGGGCTGCAAGTGCACATTGCTGGCTCATGTTGAGCTTCTCATTAACCAAGACCCTCATGTCCTTCTCCTCAGAACTGCTCTCAATTCATTCTGGACACAGCCTGTGTTTGTGCATGGGATTGCTCCAACTCATGTGCAGGACCTTGCATTTGGCCTTGTTGAGCTTCATGGGGTTTGCATGGACCCACCTCTCCAGCCTGTCCAGCTTGTGTGGTGCAAACTGATGAGTGCACTCAATCCCATTGTCCACGTCACTGACAAAGATATTTAACAGCGCCTGTCCCAATACCCAATTGTCTTTTATCCCAGGAAGCCTTTCAAGTACAGGAAGGTTTGCTTAATCTCACTAGACTCCATGACAAATCTAAAGTGACTGAGTAGACTATACAGTAACTCTTATATTACGATTCTGCACTGATTATGATCAAGATTTTTACTTACTTGTGGAATAATTTTGTTGTTACTACAACTTGCTTTACATTAATCATTCATTTGACGAATTAAAAATAGAAATGCTAACAAAAACAGCAACCTGGGTCATGCACTAACATGCTTCTGGAGGAGTGTATTGCACCTTCTTTACTGCAAAACAAAAATTTCCTTCCATTAATGAATAAATTCAACTCAGAAGAATTTTGAAAACTATGCAATTTCTAACAAAATTAATGCTGTGAATCAGCTGTTATGAAACAACTGTATTGGCTCACTGGACATCTTTGTAGCTACTAAGTTACAGGCTATGATGATTCAAATGTGGTTCAGATAGATGGTGCAGAAATGCCAAGGTGGCTTACATATGGTGAGCTGGAGTGTTCTACCAGACAATTTGATTTTCAAGGAAAAAGATTCAAGGCGTACTCAAAAGTTAGAAGTGACAGGGTAAAACATATTCGCTAATTCTTTGACTTCTGAGCTGTAAACTGTACAACAATGGACCTTGGCTGTGAGTGTTAAAGCTTGTTTGAACAGAAACAAAGCAGTCTTCAGCAGAAAAGGCAGTGGGGGCAGCAGCCGCAGGAACAGTGTGCAGTTTTAGAAGCACTCCCTATCGTGTGTTTAAAGTATTCACCATGTACGGACACATTCACCCATTTGACCTGTCTTTCCACAAGAATGGTGATACCTTTTTCAGCTAAACGGGACTCACAACAGTGGTGACCAGTTTACATACTGCTCCTGTGAGAGAACAGGTCATTCTCTTTACAATAGATTTATAGTGATGGGCCACAACGTGAGGCAAGGCCCAACGACCGTTCCTCAAAAGCACTGTCACTGCATAGCAATGGCTGTAGCAGATCAGCCTGGGCTACCAACTGTGCCATCTGAAGTACCAGTTGTATGTAAGTGCACCAGTCCAGATTGAGCTCTTCAGGGTTATTATTGCACTAGCATCTTCAGCTGAATGGGATTAATGACTGTTTCAGGGACAGGACTATGGATGATTCAGACATTTTCCACTTACATAGACATTTTCCACTTACATAGACATTTAAAAGGGTTAAGGAGTCCACCTCTACCCTCCAGTAGCATAATTTGTTCTGTACAATTTCAGAGGCATTTTGTGTATTGACTTTGGATTTCTGTTTTAAAATCACACAGCAGTTAGAGAGGTCAGAGTAGTTTCTTTTATTGTCTGTTCATTCTTTTATTTCATAGAAATTATACTACTGCTTTATGCTTGCTATTGTATATTATGACTGTTCTGCAGACCATGAATGTTTCTTCAGCTGGTTTGTTCAGCTGTTGTGCCATGAAGGTACTTGTGGAAGATCTGTAAGAATAGTCTCTGTGTGTACAAAAGGCACATTTTGAACCTAGCATCTGGTGCTGTGACCTGTGGAGAAGGAAAAGAACAGCTCACGTTAAACCACCCTTCAAAATTTTAGCAGCGAGTTAAAATCCTTTTCTAGTGACATCTGTCTGGGGTCTAAATATCCTGATGTCCGGATTAAAAAAGCTACAGAAGCCTTGTGTTTCTTCTCTGCTCAACCCCTCTTTCCCCAGCACACCTTTTTTCAGCTCTGTAATTCTTCTCTGTACAGATGCTCTGAATATTGCTTTTGAAATGAATTTATATTCCCTCACAATATGCTCACTGATGGCTTTGTTCCACTGATGTGCTGTGCAGACTGTGACTATGTCTGAGTTCCTTGAGCTAGATTGCTCTAGGATGATAACTGTGCTCTTTGAAACACTATGTCTGTGGTCTTCTACAATGCAGTCTGTAAGTGGCACCAGGCAATTATATAAAGGTTTTTGCAGAATTATCTCTTTAAATACTATTCGATATGGCAACTAACATTTGAAGAATGTGCTCTTTCTCAAGTTCCTTGGTAGCAGACGTTTCTCCATTCCTCAGCAAGAGCTATGGATTCTGGTGGGAAGAAAGACCAGTGATACTGGTAGTCCAGCCAACAATGAGAAAGAGAAAAGTTGCAATAAGTGTAGTGTGAGCATACCATAGGAAGCAGTCTTGGACGTGATGAGCTTACCAAATTTTTTGAGTTCACAGAATGGTGACACTGAGAGGGCTCTGGCCTGCCAGTACTCATTTCACAGGAATAAGAAGGAAATTAACTAAAAAATCTCAAGAGGCATTCTGCAAGACTGTATTTCTCATGGTTTTGTTTTATTTTCATTAGCCATGCTGCACTATTTGCTGCCATAACCAAATTGTCGTTGCTATTCAAGTTTAAATGAACAGCTTTTAGCATTATTTTTGCTTCAGCCATTTCAATATGCTCCTTCTTTTACAGAAAGGTTTCATGTGTTTTGATGAATGAATCTTCTATTCTTGAGATTTTAGGGTAAAATCATTTCATTCAGGCATTTTTGGGTTTTTTTTCAGAGAATGGACTTATTCCAAGTAAAGGTGTATGTCTTGCATTGAGCTCCATCCATCACTTTATTTGGTAAACACAGAATGGACAGCATGGGGCGTGTCACAGAACTGCACAAGATATATTCCAAGGAGTTCGGCAACTCTGCCCCAAGCACAGCGGAGGAGCAGCTGAGCCTGCTAAGGTAAGCATTTCTTTAGATTATGATTTAAGTTCTAATCTGCTTTTTTTTAAAAAAAAAACAACCTTTGTCTTACAGAACTTACAAAAAAGACTGACTAAACCTAATATTTATGACTTTTAATATCAGTTGAAGAAACAAATGATTAAAGGATGCCCTCTGTGGAAACCTCATCTCACCTTCACAGATGTGTACTGCATTATTTTACTGTTACATATTTTGCCATGCATAAAGTCAAAGTGTTTGTTTGTATGAACTAAAGCTTTGTCTACTAAGTCTTCCACATTGAAAAGCTGGTGATATGTTGTGACAGCCTTCCTTCCTTCTTCCTCTATCTCATTAATTTTTCATTTTGAATTAAAAGAAAAAAATTGAATTTGTCTAAATTCAAAAGGATGCAACTAAAGATCAGTTGCAGGGTTTATTTAAGATGTTCTCGAATGAAATTAAGGAATGCAGCATGTTTGGGCGACCCCAGCATATTGCAGCTCTGTGTTATCTTTAAGTTTGGTTTTTAAGATTAAAAAAAAACCCTAAACATTTGCTTTATGAATATGTTTCTTCAACAAGACCATAAATAGAGGTTAAAGCCTTAAACAGAGGATCTAGTAGAACTGGTAAATAATAAAAAACCCCTACCTTACAACACCTATATAAGTGGTTCAATTTAGAGAGATTGAGCATCCATTCTAGCAGGGGAACAGCTGGATGCACTGTTGTTGAAATCATCCCACATTTTCAAACCAGACTGAGATATAACTGAATCAGCAATGAATGAAACATGTACTAGTTCTAGATGTTTGTCATAAACGATGAATTTGGTAAACCATTTGCAGTCTCCATTGCTGTGCTTTCATGAACCTATTTAAAAAATGAAGGTAAAGTTGCTAACATCTGAGACCTCTGGCAAGGTGTAAGAATCTAACTTCTCTTTGAACTAAGCTGAAATTAGAGTAAATATAGCAAAACTTACACTGTTGCTTCAGACTTGCCCATTGTATACTGGCATTAATTGTAGTTTGGATCACAGAGGGCTGATCTGTTAACTGATCTTAAAAGTGATATTAAACATTATAGCGAAGAACCTGGTTTGTGGTCTCAATATAATGAAGATTCTGAGAACAAATCTATGTGTGGTTTTTTTCCCTTAAGATAAGGGAAAAGACTTAGTGAGCTTCTTTCAAGGTAAGTAATATTCTTTGCCACATTTTCAACAATATGGTATACCTATGCAGAGAAGGAGAACTCAAGTTTCAAACAAAAGAAACACCAGCCTATGCATAACTGGTAGCTATCCAGTATTTTGATTGCTCATGAATGCAAAAGCATGTCTGCCTTTTAAATCCACATCACTGCATTCTGTTTGCTGAAGAAAAAACAAAACTGTGCACCAAGTTCAGAGGCTCAAGTGCACTTATTTTCCTGCATTACAATTAATATATTTCATCATAACAATTCAGACTCTTTTTGTTTGCTTTAGACAACACTGATTTCACAATGGCTTCCATCAGCGTAGCAAATGCAGAATTCTGTTTTGATGTATTCAAAGAGCTGAAAACCTACCATGTCAACGACAACATCTTTTATTGCCCCCTGAGTATCATTTCAACCCTGGCCATGGTCTACATGGGAGCAAGAGGTAACACTCAATCTCAGATGGGGAAGGTAAGTTACTTACATGGGTGAAAAGTGATCTCTGCTTGTGCTTGTTGCTCCTTGTAAGTAACATCACTGAAATATGTCATCTACTGATGAGGTTCTCACTTGTTCTAATGCACCAGAAATAAGTCAATGTCACAAAATGGAGAACTGGATTGAGAGTTATTCAGAGAAAATACCAAAAAGAGATGCATATTTTCACTATAAGGGGCAGTTAATTTTGACTTAGAAAAGAAAAATACCTCAAGGACAATAATAAAATGGATTATCAGTCAGCAAATTTTATTATATGCTTTTTTTCCCTAAATTCTGACAACTTTCAGATAATGTGATCCTTATATAATACGTAACTCAGTTAACTTCTAGACATTCAGTTGAAAAAATATCCTGTAACCAAAGAGTACTTTTTACAGCTTCTTAGAAGGCCACAGAGGTCATAAACCAGTTGCAAGTTCACTTACAAATTTTTAGTTCATGTATGTTCTCAGTTATCACTGTTTTTTTTCTGAGCCAACAGCTTTACCTCAAGCATCATGTGTAAAACTCAAAATCATTTTTGGTCAAGCTTGTTATTTCTACCACTGGCGTTTTCTCTTACAGGTTCTTCATTTTGATAACGTTACAGGAGATGGAGATGCTACTGACTCCCAGGTAGAGAAATAACTTGTTCTTCCTTTCTGCCTTATTTTCTCCTCAGAACAAAACTAGAACGGTTCTGTCTCTTCTCCAGACAGTTTCAGATCCTGTCAAAAACTATGGTAACACTCTCAATCCGAGGACATTTGTGAGGGGAGGGAAGGAGGGTGTAACTCACCTGCTATAAAAGAGGGAAGGAAGGCAGGTTGCACATCTTGTACCAAGATGACAAGTGACAGTGTGGGGTAGGATGGTTTGGGCGCCGAGATGCCTTCCTGGGCATGTGAAAGGGTCTTCAGCACCTGGAGCCAGGCTACAGCAGTCAGACATGCAGCTGAGAGGCTCCAAAGCAGGGCAGGAAAATGCTGGCCACAGAAGAGCCCAGAAGTTTTAGTGACAGGAACACAACTGCACTCTTCAAAAAGAGGACTTATCTTGAGAAGGGTGAACTTCAACGTATCATCACCACAGCACCTGCTGTGCCAAGGGTGACAGCCCTATGTCTGTAGGGAGGAGTTCACTGCAGCATAACTCTTACTGAAAGGGACAACTTTTTAAAGTCTTATTTCCTAGATAAGAAGAGGCTAATGCAATGTATCTCTTTATTTCCATGTCATCACCTCAGTGTGGCCCTTCTGAATACATCCACAATTCATTGAAGGCTCTTGTCTCGGACATCACCATGCCAAATGCAACATACTCACTCAAGATTGCTGACAGGCTCTACATTGAAAAAACGTACCCTGTTCTTGCGGTGAGTTGTACTGTGACCTGACTTCAGGGAGATTCCCCATAAAGGGCCCCGTGACTCTACCCTAGAGAAGCACCACCAGCAATAGCCCACTGCTTGTTGATGAAGAAGAGCTTGTGAGCCGCAAGGGGAACTGTTTCAGAATGAGTCTGAACTTTCCTGTGGGTGTTAGGTGGAGGCCAGGCAAAAGTATAATGGCATAAAATACACCCATGTTGCAACAGTCACAGGAAGTAATCAAAATTGCTCTTCATTTGCTACAAAATAGCTTTCAATGAAAAATGGAACTTCTAAGGAAAATGAAATTCATTTTATGATTTGAAAACATCAAATTCAGATTTTTTTCAAAGCCAAATATCAAATCTTCCCAGGGAAAGGAAGCTTTTGTTTTGAAATCTAAGGATGTGAGAACACAGTATTCAAAATAAAAAGTGAGCACAAATAGAAGGAAACAAACATTGTCCTTACAAATGTCTGTTAAACTGAAAGTGCTTTGGTAAAATGAAGAAAATATTTCAAAATTTTAACTTATAGTCCTATCTGAAAAAAGAGTGCCAGACCTAAATACGTGAAGTAGTCTTTCTTTCTTGTCCAGCTTTAAGATTCGGTTACAGGAAGACAGCTGTGACTGACATGTTCAGACACAGGGATAAACAGTTCATTTTCTTTTAACCATTCTGCTTCATTTCACAATCTTGTCTTTCACATTCATACTTTTTCAAGTTCTTATCAGTCTGACAACTGCAATTCTGCTTACAGGAATACTTAAACTGTGCAAAGAAATTCTACAAAGCAGGGCTGGAAGAAGTTAATTTCAAAACAGCTGCAGAGGAAACAAGACAGCTCATTAATTCCTGGGTGGAGAAAGAGACAAATGGTAAGGACTGAAAAATGGGTAGCAGATATTTTCCCCTACCTATGATAATCTATACCTTAGTCTTCCTCTCCTCATAATGTCAAGAAAAAGTGGGTCAAGGAAGAGCAGATTGCTTATTGCTATAAAAATGAAACTCCACAAAACAGCACCTCCCCACCCAATGCCCTTCATTGCAGGCATTTGTGCACACTAGACCAGGTGTATCACCACTCTCTGCCCTGCTTCTTTCTTAAAGGACAAATCCAAGATTTCCTTGTGTCAAGCTCTGTTCATCCTGATACTGCACTGGTCCTTGCGAATGCCGTTTACTTCAAAGGGATCTGGAGGACAGCATTTAAAGAAGAACACACTCAGGAAGTGCCCTTCAATGTGACAAAGGTAGGAGGGCATGGCGGTAAGAGACCATGGAAAGAGCTTCTGGCCAGAACAGCTGTTTGCTCCCATAGCCAGCAGTCTGGGTGTTACACATAAAATCTGTTGCTGTCACAGCTCTGGTGATTTAGCTGGGCCCCTCACCGTCAGGACCTGGGCCTAAGGCCAAGGAGTCTTTGCAAGAATTGTGTCTGACCAGGCTTCCAGGGCACACCAGCAGGCAAGAGAGAAAAACAGAGACACAGCTCTTCTTCAAAGGCAACATGCTTGAAGATAAAGCCCTGTCCCTTTCAAAGGGCATGCACATTTGTCTGCCTAAACAAAAAATGGCTCCCTGGTCATGTTGTCTCATGTTTCTGTTTTTGCAGCAAGAAAGCAGACCTGTGCAAATGATGTGTCAGAACAGTACCTTCAAAGTGGCAACCGTGGCTGCAGAGAAAATGAAGATTCTGGAGCTTCCGTACACCAGCGGGAAGCTGAGCATGTTGGTGCTGTTGCCTGATGAAGTCTCTGGCCTGGAGCAGGTATGACCCTGGCAGGTGAAGCAGAAGAGTCATCACTTCAGTGGGACTTGGCTACTGTCAGGACTTCTGTTGTCCATCTGCATCCCAGCTGCCCACACCATGGCTGTGCTGGGCAAGCAGGGGAGAACAACAGCCTGCAAGGTGCTACCAGGTGCTAAGGCAGTGACTGGTCCTGCACTCAATCCCATAAAACAAAGGCAAAGGAGCATAGCGCTGCTGTAGTCATGGAGAAGGGGATGTTGCTATATGCACTGATCTGCAGATCACCAGAAACAGATGTGTAGCAGGATTTTTTTTTTCATTTCGAGCGATTTCAGTCTTCTAGGAGAGCACTCAATGATTTGCTAAACAAGGAAAGCTTATGCAAAGAGAAATAAAAAATGAAGTGATGAGAAAAGCCTTCCAAAAGCTGACTAAAAGGAAAATGGGAAAAGTAGCGTTAGAAAAGAACTAAGATGAGGGAAGGGATCAATAAAATATGTTCTCAGAGAAACAATTTCGGGGTAAATTTGATTTGATGTTTTCTAGAACTGTATTTTCACAAAAAAAGCCTTGATCTGATGAAGAAATCTTCAGATTACAAAGTTTTGAGAAACTTCATCAAGATAGATGAGATATAGGCTGTAGTCAGGAGGAAACATACAGGATAAACAAATACATTTTAGCTTAAATATCAGTTCTACTATGTCCATGAAGTAAATGGGAATAGAGAGTAACAAGTGGTATAAACACAGCCATAAAGTCCATTGCACTCTTGTCTCAAACATGTCCTGCCTCTCTTTGCAGCTTGAGAACAAAATCAGCCTTGAAAAAATCATGGAGTGGACCAGTCCTAATGTGATGGAAAGGAAGAGAGTGAAAGTGTACCTCCCACGGATGAAGATTCAGGAAAAATATAACCTCACATCTCTCTTAATGGCCTTGGGTATGACCGACCTGTTCAGCCCTTCGGCCAATCTGTCTGGCATCTCTTCAGCAGAGGGCTTGAAGATGTCTGAGGGCATCCATGAGGCTTACATGGATGTCAGTGAACAGGGCACCGAGATGGCAGGCTCAGCAGGGGTGATGGGAGACATCAGTCAGTCCTCTGAGTTTGAAGAGTTTAGGGCTGACCACCCTTTCCTTTTCTTGATCAAACACAATCCAAGCAACATCATCCTCTTCTTTGGTAGATACTGTTCCCCCTAAAGAATGAAAGAGCTGGAAATAATGCTTGCCTTCCCCTCAGAAATATTAATCTCTTACTGTAGTATTGTAGTATAATCTCATCATTAAATAATTTATCCAATTGGAAAGCCTTTAATATCTAGGGAGATAGTCTTGAAGAAGCATGTGATTTTTCAGATCTTTATGTGCAAGTAATTCTGCTCACACAACATGTAGTCCAGATTTATATCCAGGTTTGAATGAGAATTTCAGGATGTAGTTTAGGAATATTTCCCATAATAATTGAATAACTTAAGAGATAGGATTAGCATTTGATTTTTGTGAGAAATCCTGCCACTGCTATTGAGAATCTGATTTTTTCTATAGGGGTTCTGTGAAATAAACATAGCTTTCAAAATAATCTGAATAATTCTGTTGAACTTGCTGGACCATCGCCCTTGAATTGACGCCTGGACAACTTGCAGGTGAAGTTCTAAGCTTCAGCAAAGAATCCAGGAATGCATTTGGGCTTCTTTGTGCTGCACATACTACAAGGCTGTGTCTCTTGTTCTGAGGGAGCATACATAAAGTCTACCATTTCTTCATAAATCATCATCTCCAAATACAACATCTTCCTAACAGATAAAATTTCCCATCTTCATTTCAGTGGCATATAATTGATTTTGTGAACGTTAATTGGTCTAATTTTCTTTCTATTTATTCTAATAAAAGCATGCAAACTATATACATCATTACCTGTTCTGGCTTACTGCATCACACAACCTGAAACATAATACAGAGGGCAATGAATACTGACAGAAGTGGTTTAGACTAGGATTTAGACCCTATTTTCAAAACCAGAATATACCCATATGTGAAGTCACTAAACAGCTTAAGAATGTTGTAAAAAATTTTGACCTCAAGCAAGATAGACCCTATTGCTCCTATTATTAACTTGAGCTTATCTCCATATAGCATACCAAAAGACTAAATTATTTGAATTTGCCATTTTATCTCCAGATAGTTTTAAAAGATCTCCTCTAAGTGCCAGTAAATGTATCAAGGTGGTGCCTAAGAGATATAGCTTCAAAAAACACAAGAAGACTTTTTCTTAAAAGGTGAACTGCTTCAGCTCTCTCTTATCAACAAGAATCAAACAAGGAAATCTTTTTTATTGCTTCATGATGTGATAATTCTCTAGAGATACTATTTTCTATTTCACAGTCTTTAGAGGGAAGGTTCTTTAGGTTACAGTTTATCCAACTAAAAAGGTGATTAATACTAATTGCTAAGTTAAGCAATTTCCCTTCTGCTGGGATACAAATGCAGAAATGCAAATTACAGTATCAGAACTTTAAAAGTGTTTAAAAGAGGACACACATAGCAGTATTTGGAGCTGCCACAACCATTTGCAAAGTCATAATTAAACATAACTTGAAATGATGATGCTGACAGCAAGGAAACACATTTACATAGGTGCTATGAAGACTATGGAAGAACTGCAAATACTTTTCCTCCCAAGATGGTCATAAAATATTAGCTACAGCTAACACAAGTTTTCAGGCAAAAAAGTACTTCAAGAGATAAAACATTTCAAGGTTTACTGTGTACATTATCTTCTGCTTCCCTTATAGCCAAAAGCAGTCAATGAAGTTCTGCTACAGCTAGAAAAAAAATAATGAAATGGTAAGTGGCTTCCTAAAACTACACACCAATGTCCTCACTGTGGCACAGAAGCATTTGACTCCTGTTTTAAATCGAGCCATTAGATGTCACTAGGGATATGAAGTGATGTCTGTCAGTCCTCTGAAAGACAGACACCTGTTGAAAACTACGTTTGGGAGCTTAATGTAGGTTCAAATTTTGTTCTTATTTTAATTTTTGTGTAAGCAGGCAATTCTGAACAGCATACTGAAAATGTAAACCAGTGGCACTGTACTTGGAACCCAGTACCCAATATTTCTTTTTTTAAAGAAAAAGACAGAAATATTATTTTGTGAAAGTCCAGAAGCATTTGAAGATGCTTATGCCCTGAATGAAAAAGTAATATCACAGTCAAATACTGTAGAAAGGATAGAGCTATTTGTCTTATGAAAGAGAAAATGTTCTCTGTAGGGGCTAAAATGAGAGGCAAAAGTGCAGATTCAACAAAATGGAATAAAATCTAGACCCCCTGTATCAATAGCTGGACCCAGAAATTTTCTTATGCACTGCTGATCTGGGCCATGAGAACCTGCTGTAAAGGAGCTGCCACAGTGAATGTGGCTGTTGCAGCCCCCATGGGAAGCAGTTCTGCAAAGAGTTGCAGGGAGGGTGTACAAAGGGTTGAGGGGAGAGCAGCTATGAGGGGGCAAACACTGCCTGCTGCTTCTGCTCTGAAGCCCAGCAAGAGTTTAAAAACATGAACCCCAGTTCCCACGAATTCCAGGTATTGTCAGCTAGTCTTTTTTGTTCCTTGGTAGCATGGCTAAAGTTGATATGTCAGGAAATTGCCATCTGTCCATCCGCTACACTCCATTTTCACTATGTGCTGGGTTGTTTAGGATACACAGTACCTATATGAGCCTGTGGAACAAAACCAGTCACATGCAATAACATTCTTTTTAATGCTGCATAGGACAGCATTAGAAGTGCTCTGTGGACCACATGTGGCTTTCCTTCTTACGTCATTTGGCAAAAGGTTGGAGCTGACTTATCTTCTCTGGCCTCTGAGGAACACAATGTCTGAGACCACTCGACATTTCTCAGCACATTTGACTTGCAAGAAAGACCTGCCTTCTCCTAAACAAAACAAATCCATGGCTGAAGGCACAAGACTTTGCAGACAGTATCCTCGAATCACAGAATCACAGAATCACAGAATC